GGTCAGTAGATATAGGGGGTGTATTTTGCTTGTCCAAATGTTCCGAGTAGCGGGGAAAGAATAACTCTCCGCATGCATGGTGAAGTGTAGAATGAGTTGCGGGTGCTGTCCACACGCAATGATACCCCAGTTACCGTAGAAGGCAGTTGTAGTGTCAGCTGGGGCCGTCTGGAAGCCTAAATTCGTGTTCATTTGTCGGGGCAAATCTTTCTGGGGCAAATAGTCTTTCAGATAAAAGTTGATGGTTAAAGAATCACTGTTTGCATCTACATTTGATAACCCGACGTTTTGTTAGTTATTTTGTTAACGCCGCACTCAGCAATATTTCAGCTTTTTGGCGGCGGTCTGTAAACAAAATCGACTCTGGACTAGTGTTGGGAATTGGTTGAAATCTCACAATTGATGATTGCTTCATTACCAACGAACAATCATCGAAAATAAATTGGTAAGCGTCATTTTTCAGATTTTCCTATCCAGGTTGTAATTACAGATATGTATAACATGATGCAACTTGCTACTTTAAAGTGATGACTAATATATCATGAACATAAACTTCCTGGAGTCTTAGAGAAATATTCAGTCATGGGCTTTTCAGATAGTGAAGTGAATTAAACACGTTTTCAGGCCCTGACAACTTCTAAGATACGTTCCATTGTCAAGTATTTCAAAGACTAAAACAGTAGTTCCCAAATCGTTTATGTTCGATAATGAGAAAATGTGAACGATTGCTTGGTCGTTTGGTCACTGCGACCAATCTTCGATTATTTCAATTAATCGGAACACCACTACTCTGGACCCGAGAATCCTGTGATCAACAGCATGAGCATCGATCTACGATGACATGTGTCAACCAAGTCAGCGAGCCTGACCTGACCGCCCTTACGACAAGCATGGGTTACTGTAGGGCTATTCTATCCCCTAATCTTCACGGGGTGATTACCGACAGTAATCAGAGTTGGAATAGGTTCCAAGCTATCTATGCTGGTCGTAAGAGCTGGTGGGGGTGGGGTGGGGGTGTGTACACGTGACTGAAAATGTAGATCGTAGCAGTGCCACATTCGAAAACCTCTGACAAACCATACAGGCACGATAGATCGTACGTCACGATAAATAGTAACTCACTTACTGACGATAGAACGTAACACTGTCAACGCATTGTGGATCGAGACCCTTGATGCTCTTAAGGGAGGCAACTCTGCAAACTCTCCGTACAGTGTGTGCAAGGCATGGTGCGTGTGGCCATGATGACCTTTGTATCTTCGTGATACAACATGGTAACTCTCTCTCTCTCTCTCTCTCTCTCTCTCTCTCTCTCTCTCTCTCTCTCTCTCTCTCTCTCTCTCTCTCTCTCTCTCTCTCTCTCTCTCTCTCTCTCTCTCTCTCTCTCTCTCTCTCTCTCTCTCTCTCTCTCTCTCTCTCTCTCTCTCGGCTGATATTGTCATGGGTTCAATGTGTGAAGCCCATTTCTTGTGTCCCCGTCGTAATATTGCTCAAAAGCGGCGTAATGGATACTCACTCACTTGACGCAAAGTTATCACCATCAAGTATTTATTAGTGATAGATAATCATCGCCAGTTATTCCGTAATGCAATCCCAAAATTCGGTATTTTCGGTTTCGTACCGTCATTTTATTAACCTTTCTAAACCTCTTCTAAAATGTCTAGAAATCAAATCATTTGGTCAAATCAATGCATTTCTTTGGTAGACGGCCGCTATTTTCTCGGAGTAAGTTCGAGATCACCTCAAGTCTACTTAAAATGTCAGCAAGACAGCAACTGCAGATACCAGATCAGTAGCTGGGTTCCGTTTTCTTTCAATATTTCAAATCAGACGAACAGCGGAACATCGCTATAACTTATGAAAGACAAATACATGTATATCATAAAGACAAGCCATCAGCCGGGTACTTACGATGTTTGCTGTGATACAACACACCGCGTTATAGCGCGGGTAAACACTGCATATCCAAAAACGTATGATATCAGAAAACACATAATAAAATTCATTTTATTTGATTAAATTTAATCCCATTTTCATTCATTAAAACTGTTTACACTAAGGTCGGAGAAAACGTGTGTGAAATGGCACCACCATTCTACACGTGTACCACTTCCGCTTACCATATTCACACCGTAGGAGCGGTGTACGGCAGGAAATATTTCATAGCATGGAAGTGAATGATTTATCACGCGAGAGTTGAGCAGATTTTATTTTTTAGGTGTAGGAAAATTATCAATATCTATATTTGTATAGCATTCAAAGCATTCAAATTTGGCACAACGATAGTTCGATAATTACTCTAAATGTTGGTATCTTTTGTTTTTCGTTTATACAGCAATGATACCTTAAACTTTGCTATGTTTATGCATCTTTACGGAAACGTAGACGAAGCTGGACATTGTTTTACAGGCTCATTGGCTTGTATAATGACAGAATGGAAAGACATTCGGTATGATCGCGCATGTGTCTTCTATTTTACAGCATGAATTTTTTGGGGACAATGTGGCCTAAACAAATATAGATATTGATAATTTTCCTACACCCAAAAATAAAACCTGCTTACCTCTCGCGTAATAAACCATTCACTTCCATGCTATGAAATAGTTCCTACCGTTCCTGCTACTAGTGATGATATTCGATGAGGGTCCGCTTTTCGCGATTACTGCGATGGCACCGATTTCACATTATTCTCAGCAAAACGAACTGATTACCACCTCGCCATCCATGGACCCCTAGACCTGCGTTATTGACTCATTGAAGTCATATTTCACAATTAATTGCCAACATTTTGTTTTTACAATCAAAGTGGCACGTACCGCGGGAAGTCAACGGTGACTTGTCAAACTGTCTCATACATAAAATGTATCCAGCCACGTAACCCAAAGTGCTGAGCCTATGTTCATTAATATGTTAAATATGTTCGTAGAGCGTTATGTGTGTTCGTTGTTCTTAAGTCTTATGTTTGTTCGTTCTTCATAAGTCTTATGTTTGTTCGTTCTTCATAAGTCTTATGTTTCTTCGTTGTTCTTAAAGGTCACATGCGCCCAAAAAATCATACATAATTAAAACACAATTATCACTTATTCATGACATATAATATGCATTGCTGGTTATGAAAAAACATATAAACAAAATTATATAAGCGTACAATCGCAAATCAAAAGTGCAAAATTGTGTACTTGGGTTTACTTCCCAAGAACCGAAGCAGCCGGGATACCGAACCCAGTCAGAGCGGGTGGGTGTGCACTCAAGTGTAACGGCTGCTTCATTTGCAGATGCCCTCACGGCTCATTGTGTGTGTATATATAGAGATGATGGGTTTTGTAAATACATGCTCATTTTTTGTGTATACAATTTTACAATCAACAGACATCATAACATGTCATGTGGTCAAGTATCACACCTGCCTGTCTGTGTAATTACATAATGTGACAGAGACCGAACTCGGGCCATAAATCAGTGCACTTTGTTTAAGGTGTATAGCCTGATTGGTGTTAAGTTCAAATTGCATGTGGTCAGTGATAGCAGCTGTGTATTGAATATTGTCATTAGCAGACATGCAGGCAGACACACAGGTGTCAATAAAACAAGACATTGAGTTTTGTCTGTGACAAATAGTAAAATAGACAAATGAAATTATATAAACAGTTAATTTACTGTCATAACATATAAAAAGCTCGCTCCTGTGAGATATCAACAACACATTAGAAAGAAGAAGAAGAAGAAAATATTTGTATTTTTTGTGTCCAAATGTTATATATAAAACATACATAAACTTTAAAACATTCAATAAAATATAACATCCGGCCATATGGCCTATGAGACACAAGGCACTATATTATATCTACAACAGATAGTAGTAAATAAAATATCACAGCTTTGTAAGCAACAATGGAGTGTGGTATATATATTTAATTACATGACTACAAACTGCGTTTACAAATGGTTACCAAGAAGAAAGAGTGTTATAATTTGTGTTTAACATGTTGTACCATAAGACCCTTAATATAACATCTGGCCTGTGAGACACAAGCCACTACATTCTACCTAAAACAGAATAGAATCTCACAATTCTCTAAGCAACAGTGGAGTGTGGTATATTTAATCACATGACTACAAAGTGCGTTTACGTCTATTAAACATTTTAGTAACTAATGCAGCTAAGGGTTTTATTAATTTAACATTACCTAGCATATATATGGCCTGGTCGGAAGGTGGCAAGAGAGAAAAAAAAGGGTTAATATTTAGTACATTTTCCCACAAATCATATCGTAAATCCGAATATAGTGGACAGCTGACCAAAAAGTGAACTTCGTCCTCAATCGTATCAAACCAAAGCCTTCACCGAGTATTCACCGGACAACCCGCTTCCAAGCTGCGCGAACCTATTTCACTGCGCACGTGCTATGAGCGCAGCCCAGCTGTTGAAACCAGTTTTCCCCAGAAAAGTCGGGGGAAAATTACTGAAACGTTTGAACATCAGATTTCGCGTTTGCATTTTTGACGATTTGTTTCGGTAAGTCCACACCGTAAGGTATCAGAATCTGCAAAGTTGTGTTTTACGTTGCATGTGACCTTTAAGCATTGTGTTTATTCGTTGTTCTAAAGCATTGTGTTTGTTCGTTGTTCTAAAGCATTGTGTTTGTTCGTTGTTCATAAGCCTTATGTTTGTTCGTTGTTCATAAGCCTTATACTTGGTATCCTCCCATTACCCCTACATCCCATTACCCCTACAGCTTATAACAACAAAGTTCACGGCCCAATGCACTGCTAATCCCCTCCCTGTTACCTGTTACCTGGACAATGGACTAGCCAAAACACATGAACACAAGATTTAATGTTTTAATTTATGGATTTAATTACACAAATAAATGAATATAATACACAGATATCTTCCTGGTCGTGACATGAATATGAGCAGCAGGTCATGTTAACTTTTTGATGTTATTTTTTGTCTTTGAAACAAGTCTCTATCCCAATTTGAGGAGATGGCCCACACGTCAAGGAACTGCATTGGTGTTTTCAGCCCACAGGTTCCACAGGTTCCACAGTGGCAGACGGAATCTTGCGTCGTTGTCGACCCAGGTAGTCACCATGTAATCGTTGAAGGTGGCCGCTCTTGGTACATCGGGAGCGTCGTCCATGGCGTCAACCCATGTGTCCTGGATACTGTTCTGGGGTAAAAGGGGTAGTCCAGCCTCTCTTCTTACCCATCTGGATATTTCCAGATCCTCTCTGTAAGCAACAGCAAGTCCCAGATCCTGGACCTTCCTCCAAATGACCTGACAGTAGTGGAAGAAGCAACCCTTCACTTCAGCAGTCGGAAACTCTCTCTCTATAGCATGAATTGCCGGCCGGTTAAGTCTCTGCTGAACTTCATTCTTGATGAGTCTGAAGAGTCTGGAGTAGGTCTCAGTCTGACGGTCGGGGAGTAAGGTGAAGATGAAGGGGATAGGTTGTGGTTCCACGTCTTGCATGTAGGATGTACACTTGATTCCACAGACCAGGGCAGGCAGTAAAGGTTCCATCCATATAGATGATTTCAGAAGACTGCAAGGCCTGAAGACTATCCATGGTGCCAAATGCCAGGATCTTATCGTCATCACCATCTGAAAACAGGAGGAAGGGTCGACCATCTGCTGTCTGCGTCCAGGAATCTTGAAGGTTCACTTCCGATCTCGTCTGCGGCAAAACAGGAATTGTCTTCTGTCGATGGCGGTACATAGCACTGCTCATGGTCGGGAAGGATGAAGGCCGGGTGGGACAACTTGGGAATGGCCAGCGAGTCCTAACTTGACGCATAGAAGGAAGCGAGCTACAAAGACATATTTTATATCATTGGAAAGATCTCGAGGAGATGAACTCAAAAAGTTCATGTGCCAGTGCGCGCACGTGTTCATAAGCTCACAAATGGGCTCTGAAAATGCATTTCTGCAGAAATTACTGGCAGAATTAATTTTTTCCGCAGAAATTTCTGGCAGATATTTTTTTTACCGCAGAAATTTCTGGCAGAATTTTTTTTTACCGCAGAAATTTCTGGCAGAATTTTTTATTTCACTACCAGAATTATCTTAATTGAAAAATATTAGACACCATTTTAGGATAATTCAATATGGATGTTACTTTCTCCTGTAAACAACTTCAAGTTGGAGGGGATAATGGTTCCCAGAAGTAGATCGCCGCACAAATCTTACAAGGCATATTTTAACATCTTATCAAGACGAAATGAAAATAAAAATAATATTCACGTTCTGTATAACATGAGTTTCACTGGACGAAGTTACAGTCATTTCATGTTAGACATGAGCCCTGTTGCCAAATGTTTCAGAGATAGATCCTCTCGGAGAAATATGTGTCCTATATATATATATAAATATTTGTCAGGGTTGAGATTGCGATCTGATCGGAGATTCTACCAGTAGAGACTTCGCAGTCTTTACCAGTATCCTACTAGTAGAGATTGAAATCGGATCCTACCTGTCAGATCCGATTCTACCAGTACAATTTCCAATTCAACTGGTAGAAACCCTGATTTTTCTGTAGGCAAACAACACTTTATTTGCTGAACAATAATATTCATTTGTTATGCATGTTATTTTAATATGTGAAAAATGTAAAGAAATTCAAATAATTCCATATCAATGTATCTCACTTTAATACAAATTGCTTTAATTGATAATGTCCTAATCATGACCATTTTGTTGATACAAACTATGGTTTCACATATGAAAAATCATATGTAGGATCAGAATGGAGCTTCCATTGGTAGAGATTGCAATTGCATAGGTTATTCTATATAATAAGTTTCTACCAGTACAGACTCCGCTTGCAATCTCTACCCTGGCATATATATCATCTCTCTATATATACATTGTATATAGTTTAGGTGAATTAATTCATGTATTCAAATCATTGAACGCTTATTATTAGCATATATTCTGAACAACATGAAAAACCCTCAGTCTTTTCCTATAAATATAAATGCATTCAATATGTTTGGACACATACTAGATACATAATAACAATATTTGATCATTTACATATTCCTAGAAATGCCTCCATCAACACGCTCAACATGACCAGCGTACCGAACTGAGATGATAAACAATACCTAAGCGACAATGTATCACTGTTCAAAGTGACAATACCCGAGAAAATCTAATTGTTTTCACACCTGATAATTTGTTGTTTATGGGGCTGTCCCTACAAGCGGCCACCGTCCCGGTTCGGTTGTCCCAGGTGGCCACAGCAATTAACAATTGCGTAATCCAGAGAGCGGCCACTCAGGGGAAAACACCAAAACAATGTCGGGTGGTGCCGCATGGACAATACACGTCTTTTGGGTTCTATCCAGTAGGTTTTATCGGTTCAGTTAAACACCAGATGATGACATTTTGTTGATTGTAGGAAGACATTAACAGAGAACTTTGTAATGAAACATACATTGGGTCCGCACAATTAAATTTCACAAGATATAACTTTATAAATATTCTCTTTCATGTATTCAAAATACTTTTTTTCTAAACGATGCATAGTTTGATAGTTTATGCATGTATATTGTGGTATTACACAAATATGATATTAAGCAGCATGCGCAAACATATTTAAGTCATATGTCTGCACCCCCAAGTACTTACAATGTCGTATCGGAAATATTCATTGTCCTGCAGCAACAACAGGTGTGCATTGTCTGCCGATTTCAAATAACAATATCAACCGGCATACCATGCAGATTTTATGTGGTACAGGAAAAGGTAGGCAACGGCTCAGTGTCCAAGCAAACATATGTTGCTGGGTAATCTACGATAAGGGTTACTATAATTCATTGCAAATGACAAAACTCTATTAGAGAGGGGTAATCATAATTATCAAAGGAGCAGGTGCCCACTCTTTGCACAGATCAGACTTTACAGGGAATAAGTAAAAAACAACATGTAGGCGTGCATCAAAGGGATTTAACAGCAACAACTATAGGATAGGGTAATAAAGCAGTGACAACAGGGGGAAGTCAAATGTCCAAGAGGTAGAAAATATACATGGCTGGAATGCTCTGCTAAGTTGTTGCTATCAGTTCATTGTATGCAGATGGGATGAGATATCCTTCATCTCTCTTGATGGAGGGCTTGTGTCCGCGGATTTGAACTGCTTAATCCATGTTGATGTATATATAAGTCTGCTACAGCACCTCAGTCTCGCTTGACAACGGTATAATAATCTATACTGAAACGCCGCATCCTATATAATATAGACGTTGTCATCCATGAAGCGAAAATGTGTTGAATGTAAGTCACTAACGTGAGGCTCTAAAATCATATGGTGGTGTGCAAATCACCGTTTAATTCGTGATTGGTATATTTTCTCATGATATTATTGTATGAATAATCGTTTCCTTTCACACTCGTATTACAACACAAATCATAAAATAGATAAGATCTATATATTATGATCTCGGTAGCAACAGCATGGAGCGTGTTGTTCAGTGACAAAACAATGTGAAAATTCATCGAGGAGATACTTTGTCCTTAACCACCTCAGCATATACATGTATACTATACTTCACGGCAATGACGATTTATCTCCTTTAGACAATGAAAACCTTATAAAATCCGTTCAGAATTATATAACTGGAATTATATAACTGAAACTAACCGCTTTACGGAATTCAAGTAACAACCTATAAACATAAAATGCACTTGGTGTCTTGTTCTTTATTTTCTTTTGTTTTGATTCATTCATTAATGTCCTAATGTCTGCTCCATAGAATTAAGTCAAGATAATAACGAACTATATGCGGAGAAGCATTGACATAGGCCATATGGCCTGTTTGCTAATCCTATTTTCATTTTGTTATGTCGTGTATTATGAAAAATGTAAACATTAATGGAAATTTTAAAAAATACTGTTTAAATCACAATACTGTATAAATCTCGAACAACCTCTGCGTTTTGCAGGTATATATCGTAGCTCTTTCCAAACGTAGTCATCAAGTTTCATTCACCATTTTATCTAAGAAAATTTTGATACCTTTTCGATAGAACGTAGACATTAAAGTTTGTTGGACCACTGACTTCAAAATACTGACTTTATGCATTTCATTTGTGCAATGGTACATTATGTTTAGCACTATCTATGTGCACAAACCAGCCGTTTCAACACATTACCTGAAGAGATATTTTCATAAGCAAGTTTTGCTCTTTTACTGATCCAATGTATAGGTTGTTTATTGCAACGGCAGTGTTAGGTAAACAAGAGATGTGGATGAATGAATCATTAGGACTGGTATATTTTCAAACAATTTAACAAGATATTTTGTAGGAATCCTGGGTGACTAACATCATTTCAAAAAATCAGTGGTGACTCGACATTCACAATTGTCTCTAATTTCCCAGGAATGCGACAGCAAAATTTCTATTAAAAGCATACGGTCTTTTTGATAGCAACTTCTTGTTAATTGCATAGAGCAACGTTTCTTTGTAGGTTCTCACACCATGTTCAAGCTAACGGTGACAAAAACCAAGTGATTAGAATGATCGAATGCTGTGACAAACATCGTGTACGTCTAATCATTTTCAATTAAGACATTTCTGGTAGTGAAATGAAAATTTCTGCGGGAAAAAAAAATTCTGCCAGAAATTTCTGCGGTAAAAAAATAATCTGCCAGTAATTCCTGCAGAAATGCATTTTCAGAGCCCATTTGTGAGCTTATGAACACGTGCGCGCACTGGCACATGGAACTTTTGGGTTCATCTCCTCGAGATCTTTCCAATGATATAAATTATGTCTTTGTAGCGCTTCCTTCTATGTGTCAAGTTAGGACTCGCTGGCCATTCCTAAGTTGTCCCACCCGGCCTTGATGGCATCAATGGCATCTTATCATCGTCCAAGTTCGTAATCTCGTTGTTGTAGAGGGTGTGCATCGATGTTGACTCCTCCCTCGCTCTCTTCCTCAGGTTGCTGACAAACTGGACCTTCTGGCTATCCTCTGGCGGATGATTATGCTCCGTCGCATTCCTCAAAACATTTCCGACTGGTGTGACTCTTCCTCTGCAAGTTGACTGGACACACTTCCAGTGTACACAAGACTGTCTCTCGACATTCTTTAGTGTGCAGATAAACCTCAAATAGGACTTGGGTGCTACCTCTCCGTGACATGACAAACTCAACATTGCGAAGACCAGCCATGTTGATGTCATGTTAGTTTGTTTCCAACATTTATATACTATGCTAAGTCATCTCAAATTACTTGTCTCATCTCAGTGTCAATTTCAACATTTACTTCATTTCATCCTAACAAACTTTCTCTAACCAAGAATACCTTAATCCTTTCGAATTTGTATACACAACACTTTAATCGCTCCCATGGGTAAGTTCATTATGCCAGACAGGTAAATGCCGTGTGTTGTTTTAACTAATTGTAGGGGTACTGGGATGTATGGGGTAATGGGATGTAGGTGTACTGGGATGTAGGGGTAATGGGATACAACCTTGTTAGTTGATGCTACCACTACACACGGATTTGAGCTCATCTTATTACAAGCTATACCATTCACACTTTGCTAAGGATCAAGTCATTGATTCAACAGAAAACGAATGAGGTGGAGTCTCATATGGTTTAAATATATAAGCTTATTGTAAGCATGGATCCTAGGTTTCAGTATGTCACTGCATCTTGTGGATCCCATACCTGCTATTGGCAGGTGTTGTGTACTTGTCGTTCCATGATTTGCAAAATGGCT